ATCTCCAGTGATGACCTTGAAGAATGTTTGATCTTCTCTGTAGAACGTCTCCAATCCCATATAGAACGCTTCGACTTCTTCTTCGTCACAGTTCGGTGTCGGCTCGTAAATGACGAAGATTGTTAAAGTCTGCACTGATCCACATTTTTTTAAACCTAATCGTCCGATTCGGGTTGTAAGTTGTTCGAATGAATCGATTTTCATGGACTAACTCGTGTTGACGAGAACGCCGACTCCTCTACTTTCGCATGTTCCGTGGAACAGTTCTTCTCCGGTGTCATAGACGGCGTTGAAAGGCTGGCGACTTCTGGTCTCGGCCAGGCAGATAACGTCGTAGTTTCTCCTTCTTGTTTCCATGAGCGAGTCTTCTATCGAGAACTTGGATGCAAGTGTACGTGCGTTGTAGGTACAGATCGTCACCATAGTTCTTTGTAATCGAGGCAGCTTCCATTGGGTGAGATTTTAGCAGCCTCTCCGTACTCGTTTTACCTAACGCTGCAAAATCGGGGGCTCTTTCCAAGGGAATGAGGCCCACCTTTTTTTTTTTACTGTGTTTAGCATTTCGATACTCACGTATAGTTTGCTGGGCTCTGAATGTGGGGTGGCTTGTAAGGCTGTGCCAGAGTGGACATGAGGCTTATTTGTTGGAGGCTTCTCCTAACTTCCCATGTACTTCCCAGTCACTTGGTTGCAGGCTTTTGGCCGAATTGACTCGCAGAATACAATTAGCATAAGCAAGAACTCACCCACACACACATGCATGAATACGCCTAGCAAATACGGAAAGTTTGTTCCAAATCGGCGCAGCAGAAACAAGGAGTCTATCCTCTGGATCCACTTGCGTCTCAGGGAAGCAAAGGTCGCTTTTGGTCCGCGATTAACCTCCTATCCACCACCTGGGGACGCGCCACGTAGCCTCGCGAGTAACCTGCTCGAGATCCCTCATATGAGGGAAATCCGTGGCTCGTCACGATAGGAAAGAGAATATAAATGCCAACAAACTGATGCATAATTCTTCGGTCAAAGCGATTTTTTTTCGTACATTTCTCTTTATCCTAGCAAGTAAATCGCCTCCTTAGTGTTATTAAAGGATGAGTAGACCTTTAACAATCTGGGTACGAGTTTTCATCGCTGAATCTTTAGGCTTCCGCCCGCTTTACATCATGAAACTTTGTTAAACCCCCTACTCACGCCCTCACTTGATGCTCCCCGTCAGGGGGCGCTGACAACGTGCTAACGCATGGGAGACTCATTAAGCCGGTAAAGGTTTTAAGAAAAACGATTAAGCCGTTTTTTTCGTTCGACGTCCTAAATTAAACTCTTAAGTATTGGGTTATGAAGATGCCAATGAAATTTTTTCAGTCTTGCCGAAAAGGCATGATTGACCACAATTTGGCGATATCAAAACGAACTGGATGTATTCACAGAAATGTTGACGTTTTTTTCCTCACCATAATAGGAACGCATGTAATGCAGTGGTTAATTCGATTCCGTACGTCACGACAACCAAGCATTTCATTCCTCCAGGGTAGGGAATTTGGTACCACAATTGTTTAGTAGGATAGCATCACTGAGGTTATGCACAGGTCAGGCCTCTCAAGTAATTACATGGACCAAATAAGCATTTAATAACCTCTAACAATTGTTGCCGAAGTTTAGTGCACGGTACATGCATAAAGATTGATCAACGAACGCTTTATCTTTCCAGAGGCTATTGCATATCTTAAGTATATCATTGTTGTTGTAGTTCATAGACATTTCACATTGGTATGTTTCAATTACTAGCACTCAATATGGAGCCAGGTTTGTTATTAGACAGGGACTTCGCCTATCATCCTAACTACCGTTATACAATGTTAGCACAACTTCAGTACATTCTGATGATAAAAAGAAGGTTACCTTTGTCTCTAGTGACGACGGTACGATGCCACACTATGTGAGAAAAGTAAACGCATGTAAGCATTTCATCTATCAAGCCAAATTCTGATAATTTGTTGGGATGTTGCCGGATTTCCAGGGTGAATTACACACTAGCAACGACTATCTAGATGAACAGAAGTTAGGTTTTCCTTTTCAGGGTTTATACGAAATGATCAGGAACCTCGTGGTACTACTCTAGAAGCAGAACAACAGAACACTAATGGCACTGTTCTCATTAAGAAAACACGTGATGCTTCTGTTGCGCCATAAAGTCTAACTAAGGCTGTTTTTTGTACGTCTTTATGGAAAATAATCAACATTTCCTAGAACCGGCTTTCTTCTAACCTCGGCGTTTATCAATTATTTACTGTTTTCTTGATGAACAAACACGAGGTTGTCATTACAGCATTCTTTCATTCAAAACTACTCTGTCGTTCCACCGGCTTAGCCTTCTTCAGAGTCTGGAAGGGTCAAATTTGACGCGCAGTCCACTCACTCAAACGCTTTTGTAACTTCAGCAGATAAAACGTGGTACGTAATTGTTTATTGGCAAAGTGAACAGCTTGTCTTAAACACTCATCGTTTTGCCTTTTACTAGCGCTTCAGTTATTATTGGAGACCAGTCCCACAAAGTATCAGATGAGTGAAAAGTGTGTGTGGCTCGAATCAAAAAATCGATCTGAGATATGGCGGTAGCTCACGCGTGATTACAGGGCACTCCCTCTTGCTGTTCACTTCGGGATTCCTGGAGTTCCAGAACGCTTCAAGAATTTTACGCCCAGAAGCTTCAGATTCCTGGGCAGCGGAGGTCACTTCTAGTCAATTCCTCAGAATCTTCACCGTTATGTCTGTGTCTTATGCACACCTAGCGGAGCAATTTGTTTAACTTTACGCTTACCATCTGAGTGCCCTTTTATGCAAACTCGAAGTGTTCTACCAATTTTGTGAATGTATACGTTCACGGTGGTACCACTTCATGACGTAGCCGTTCTCGGATAGATTGATTCGAACTTTCAGGAATGAAAACCAGTTTTCTTTCGGTTTCTGCTGGATAAACTTAATCTATTCTAACTGTTCATCCAATCACTCAAAACAATTCTCCATCTTCTCTTCTGTGAAACAGAGGACAACACATTTGTCTACACATCTTTGGTAGGGTAATGGACGGAGACTGATTACTGGAGGTTTCACCTTAGATATAAAGAAAATGGTACTAGTCGCTCTCCAATTGCCAACCTTATCATTTATGCGAAATACTTCCGTACTATTTAAGGATTGAGCAGTTTAGGCACTTCTTTAAGAAGGCAATGAGCTGCTAAATCGAGAAACCATGCATGTTTATTATTGTTGCATAAGGAGCTCGCTGATGGCTTTCACGGCGCCGTCATTCGATACGTTTGAGTAGAGCGCGGTAACGTCGAAGGACTCCATCACGTAAGTGTTGTAAGGAGACGCGTTATGTAGACGATCCAGACAGATTTGGGTGCACTGAGTTGTGCTGAGATATATTTCAACAACTGAATGAGCATTAGGTTTATGAACCAATTCTGCCTGTGGACTCGTCTATACAACTTGTGATTGCTTTAACCTTGTGCGTTGTAGGGTCAGTGGACGTATGTTCATTAGCGAATACTAACTAATTAGTTTGAATTATGTATGAGATGGGATCCGCTAGTAATTCAACTTCGAGTTTTAAAATAACTGTTGGTTTAAAACCAGCGCGTTTGCTACTTTAACCCATTCCGCGTTCATTTTTCGCCTTTTCCTTTCGGTTCCTTTTCAGACGACAGACTTTAAAGGGAAGTAGTTTCAACGTGTTTTCCTGTTGTTTCTGATAATAAATAACTAAAAACTTCGCTTTTATCAACAAGTAAAAGTCTACTAGTCTTTTATTTTACTAGTTGTCGAATATATCGCAAGCCATATCGCTGCTGTGAACTAGGAACTAAACTCTCCTTTGCAAAAGTGTTTTAGGGTCTTGCGAGTTGAGTCCGGAAATATGCGAAAATTGATGTCCACTTTGCCGATAAAATCGTGCTGTTTGAGGAACGCTTGAGTGGAGAAAGTGATCGTATGAGTTCGATCACGGGGCAGCTAATCTCCTGCGAAGTGTTTAAGAATACGTTGGTGAAATGGATAGACCACTCTGCGTCCGTATAAAACAACACTTACGCGGTAAGCGTAAAGTTAAACACTCTGCTATGTGCTCATAAGACGAAGATTTTGAAGTAAATGTAACCATTCTTGCCTAGAAATCTAGAGCATCTGCACGTAAAAGTCTTGAAGCGTTCTGGAACACCAAGAACCTCTAAAGTGAACCGCTAGGAGGAGTATCTTGTGATCATTAGTGATCTCGCACCATAGGTAAAGCTGATTTTCTCACCTTACCCAGGCACATTCCTCACCCACGTAAGACTCTGTGACGCTTGTCTCCACAAAATAACTGAGAATTTAAAAGGAACAATACGATGGGTGTTTAAAAAAAGCTGCTTAATATGTGAATAAGCATTCATATATTAAGTTTTAACTACTGAGCTACGAAAGTGCGTGACCAAGAGGAATGCAGCTCAATTTAACGGTTCCAGGCTCTAAAGAGGGTAAAACCACCTTCTACATATTGTGAAAAAATAAATACTGTAATAACAACCCTGTTTCTGCTCATCGAAAAAACAGTGAATTATTAATCAATATTGCCGTAGATGATTAAGCTAACAGGAGGCAACTACAGAAGCTTTTTTCTCCTTTTTTTTTTTTAAAGAAAAGGCGTTAGAAACAACCTCGCGTTAGCGTAACAATCTAAGGAAATATTAATTTTCATTACAAAGTTAAGTGGTAGCTGATTTTGAAAATTTATGGAAAGTATTTATGATGGTACCAATAGAGGTGAGTACGGTAGTGGTGAACAATAGCGATGAGGGGAGATTCCATCGTGTTCTGAACGTATTGTTATGTAGATCTGTAAAACTTGGCATACTGTATTGTTATTTGATGCCAGCTATGAAGGTCAGTGAAAACATAAAAAACGAGTAGGTGATGTTGACTGTGAGCTTGAAGAAATCAGATTTAAAAAATACGCTTACCACTTGGTCTGATACCAGCCTCAAACGCTTCGAATGTGACCTTTGTCAGATGATCGACTAACATTAATGCGGTTTCGTTTTGTGGATCATCTTCTGCATCGTAATCTTTTATCGCTTCCTGAAAAAAAACGAACGATAGCGCCATGAAGTCAGAGAATCGCTAGATATTTACAATTTCCATAAAGGTTAGAGGATAAAGCGTTCGGCTGTGGTCAATGCATTACCGATGAGGTATACATTGCGCTTCATTCAGCTTCGTAGAGGTGTTTGAATGCATATTTAGCTTATACCACAACTGGCAGTAAACTATCGACGTATCAGCCCATTATTTTTAGAATCTAAAATATCGGAAAGATAGGGTAACTCCTTCTTGTGCTGCCGGATCGAACCACCAACCTTACGTGTGTTGCACGGGAGCCCTAACCACCGCGCAACCATGGCCTTCTGCACCATATACGTATAGGAACTGTAACCTTTATGATATTCATCGCTCTCTATGGAAATTCTGTAAAATTAGAACACACTGTGACGAAGTAAAGAAAGGAATGCACCGAGAAGACATTGGTATGGAATATAAGCTCTATGTAGTATTTCAATTAATGCACTTTTGGCTAAAAATCTATGTGTTCGAGACAGAAAAGAGCGAAATGCTGCATGTCTGAATAGAAAAAATAGTGCTCAATTGTAATCTGATAGAGGAAACTCATCAAAATTTGAATTTGCAAGGCGGATAAGTTTCATGAAATGTGTGGTATAAAAGTCACCACCACCTTAATGCTTAACTGGGCAGAAAATTATGTTATGAGCAAGTTAGTGTCGGCTGAGGCACAATACAATTACTATTATCTTAACCTTTTTATTTATTGCCTATTCATTTAACGGCAGGGTATGTTGCGAACTATAACTTCTATAATGCTGAGATATTTGCAAAACTCCGGATCGCAGGTGTTTGCAGTGCGGAACGAACGCGCTATTATCCTTTCCGGGGAGCAAAGCATTCACCACCACACCATGCGGGTCCTTCGTTTCGCCTGTCTCTCAGCTAGTTCTATCGATCTCTGCCAAGTTATATTTCACCTCTGACACTTTTAGCAGGGCCAGACGAGTGCACTGCTAAGGTTACACCTACGTCAAGAACAATAGGAGTGTCGCGTATGTGATATGCTCTTTGTATCCCATAGCGCATAACGCCACCACGTGCAGACACTATAGTGTGCACTGTGAAATTACAGGGTTTAAGAGATTTTTTTTACCGCACTATGCATAATCCTTCGATAGCCAGACGAAAGTAGATTGTAGTAGGAGTGAGAGCAGAAGAACCATTCCCTGCACTAAATCATACGCAAAAACCCTCTTTTCGAAGAACTTCACTGACCGATAATTTGACCAACATTTAACTGTTCGTTCACTTTAATCGCTATGATCATCCTAAAGGGTGCGTATGGCGCAGTGGTCGGAGGCGCCCTGCAACACGCACGTAATATCGATCCTCGCCCCTATGGCCCACCAAGCCTTCCTTTATTCCGGGGTCGGTAAATTGACCTGTCTGGGAGGATAGCAGCACTGGCTCGATACATCGCTAGGCTACCGCGAGTCGTTGTAGAAGCCATATATGCATTCAATCACCTCCAAACGACGCTTAATGAAGTGAATGCATGGCGCATTCCACAGGGATTGATCAATGCCGAGAGCTTTATCGTTTTTACGGTCATCGTATGCTATGTACGAATACAAAAAACACCACACTATAGCCTCAGCCTAACTTGGTTCAATGCAGTTTTGGGTTCCCCAGATCAATCCCATTGACGGGTGATTGCTGATGGCAAAAGATCGATAGAACTAGCTGAGAGACAGGCAAAACGTCGGACCCACATGGTGTGGTGGTGAACGCGTTACTCCCTGGATAGGACAATAGAGCGTTCGTTTCCTACCGCGGACACCTGCGGTACGGACTTTTGCAAATATCTCAGCATTATAGACAATTATCATTATTATATTAATAACCACCATTATTATTAATTGCCATTATTATATTCACACGTTTCGGAACCAGGACAGTGCATGTAGTTTAGTGATTAGACATGTAGTGCAAAATACACTTAGCGGTTGTCTCCCGCGCATAAAAGTACCATATTCCTCAATTCTTTTAGTGGGCTGCGAACGAATATGCAATTTCCATCCGAAAGTCCCTCTTGAGAAGGCCAAATATGCGCCATTGTGTAATCCGCCAAGTAATCTGTGACTATCTTCTAACTAAGAATGATGAAAACAAAGGCCTTCATCCAAAATATTTGAAACTCTTTGAGCCCTCATAGTCAGTGGAACTTCCTGGATAGCCTTGAGGCGTTTCCCGCAATTGTAGATTTCATTGGTGTCCGCTCATGCTACTCTATGATTTCAGGGTGTAGTTGGTACAGATGATGGTATGTTCGACTGTTTACATTCTGATTAAGTGGAACGCTGGCTTGCAGTGACAGTTCTTCGTTTCATACGCAGATACCCACGCTCCAAAATGGCGCTTCTTCCGGATCGTTACCATTTTATGTGCCCACATAATCGCAATCGACGTTTTCATTTTCGTAATCCATGGTGCCAATGGTGTTGTTGTTGTCAACACTGTTCGACTAATCGCTTGTTTAACGTTTGAGCAATGAAGCGTTTCGCATGTGAACGGGCGGGCGGACACAAGCACTTTTGTTGGTTGAAGAGTACAAAAAGCATGTGACAGTCCTCATTTGTTCTTCGTACATCTAATCGTCGTTGAAAGGTGTAAAATTAATTGGAATAAGTTTGATTTTCATTTGGTCAAAGTTCCAGTGAGTTTTTCAGTTTACGGATTCGAGGACAAGGAACTGATTCGAGCAATGAAAAGCATCTCTTGCGAATTGTGCTCTTTTCCACCTATTTTAAATTTGGTATTAATTTGGATTTCATGGTAAAAAAAAACCTGCTCCGAGCACAACGAATTCGTCCTTAACTGCTGACAACGAAGATGTATTAATTCATTAGACGCGTAAAACCCTCGAGGCACTCTGGATTAATTCCAGAAATCCGAAAATAAACCGCAGGGAAGAATGCCTCATCATCACGCGTGATATAGGGCAGTATATAAAACTGCTTTTCTGATGTGAGGGGCACATTATACTTCCACGTGATTTCTGTGCGGTTGGTCTCTACGTGACATACTTAGTGGAGACCTCATAGAAAGCGGTGAGTGTGCAAAGCTGTGTTCAAAGTGATTGAAATCTTGGTTTGGAGTTTCTTTGTTTGGTTATGGAGGCGTCTGGCCGAGTGGATTGCTATCAACTTGACCTTTCCAGGCTCTGAGGAAGGCGAAATCCGCCGAAACGTCAGCCTAATCGTGAACAAAGAATAGTAACACCTCGCGTTTGCTCAACAAAAATACGAAGAAAATCACTTAATTCATTAGAGTTTGCTTAAGAACTTTTCAACAGCCTCTTAACATTTTACTGCCACATCGCGGCTGTGAGGTGCTCCTGGGTGACGGGCTACGATGTGCAGCGAGGGAATTCGTCCCCTGGGAGTGTTTCCCAAGCTGAGAAGTTGTCCGCCGTTCCCAACAGGAAGCGCAGCTAAGAGTAAACCTATACCAGGAGCCACCACCATCCTGGTATCAAACTAGTCGCATAGTAGCAAATCTCCCTCTGATCCACAACGACGACGACCTGAGGCAGACTTTGGCCAGGCTGAACTCTGGACGCCAGGAAAACACGATAGGTAAACAGGCAGACTCCGAAGAATGGAGAATGTTTAGCGTTTTGTTTTCTGCCTTCTATAATTTTCATGGCAGGTTACTAAGTAAGCGAAATACAACCACAACGTTGCTGAGATATTTGCAAAACTCTGGACCGCAGGTGTCTATGGTGGGGAACGAACGCGCTATTGTCCTTTCCGGGGAGTAACGCGTTCACCACCACACCATGCGGGTCCTTTGTTTCGCACGTCTCTCAGCTATTT